CCCTATAAAAGTGGCTGGTTATATTTGGGCTCATTCCTATGTTACGGGACTGCTGCTCCGGTTCTTGCTTAGGGGTGGGGTGCTTCTGGAAATTGGAGAGATTTTGTGTGTATTGCGTGTATCAAAGTTGGTTTTTTGGTTTTTGGGGAGGGTTTTGGTGGTGTGGGGGGTTTTTTGGGTGTTTTTTTGTTGTTGTTGTTGGCGGAGCCCAAGTTACTGAACAAAGACAACCCCGTTGCCCTGCGGGGCAGGGAGCATCTCTTACACGCTGCTGCTGGCGGTGGTGCGGAGCTTCCTAATAAACGTAAATATTGCTTGCGACAGCTGCGGTGGCAAGGGACAGCTCGATCCCCCAAGGCTGCTCCGTGCAGAGCCGAGGGCGCCCGTTTGTGGAGGGAGATGCTTTATCATAGGGAGATGCTGCTGCATGGATGTGTGGAGACGTGGGGTGGGTTATGGCAGCCGGAGGAGTCACCTGGTCCCGCTGGTTCACACCGGTGCTTTTTATGTGCGCTGGTGAAAGCTGTGAGTATGGCTGTGCTAGCCTGTCCCGGGACAACCGAGCTGTTGGCGTGTGGGACCACCGAGGCAGGACTCGGCGCGGATGCTGCAGCCAGGGATAACGTGAAGATGCTGGGAGAGAGGGGGGCTAACAGCGGCAGCGTGCGCGGTGTCCCAGGTACGCGTCTCTCCCTAGGAAGCGGTGTCGGGGGCAGACAGCACCCGGAGGGCCCCCGGCGCCGGCCTTTGCGTGGAGCAGAGGGAAGTGCGGCGGAGGGCGGCTGGGGTGGGCTGTGACTCCCCAGTGCTGCGCGGGAGGGACCACGACTGAAATGGAGAAGGAAAAACATTTTGCATTATACCCATTTTGCTTTATACCCGTCACCCCCCACTGAGGAAACGAGGCTTTGGGCATAGGCTATGGATCACCCTTTTTACCTAGTTGATTCCTGTCTCCATTTCTTTAAAAGGCAGGCGATGCCTGGGTTTGATCGGGTTTGGGTTTTTTTTGTCTTTTGTCCCTTGCTTTCCAAGTTGTGCGGCTCCTGCTTAGGCTAAATGGGGAGAGCGGAGGGGAGGAGACTTGTGTAATGAGGGAGGAGGGGAGAGGGCCTGGGCTTGCAGTTGATCTCTCCTTAAGAATATAAGGCAGGAAACAAAGGGTGAGCTGCACATGGAGAGCAGCGGGCACCTGGCAGCCCCCGGCCCTTCAATAGACTGCTACGCATTCGGCTTAATCCGCGCCCAAAAAGTCCGTGAACAACAGACGAGGGTGGCTTGGGTTTGGCCATAGCACCCCTCCGTCCCCCTCGGGTTCGTTTTGTTAGCGCCGAGGCAGGCTGCGCGAGCAGATAATGCGTTGGAGCTTTTGATGGACGAGCATGTAAAATCGTTTGCAACTTTGCAGTTGCCTCGCTTTTCGTAACACGGTGAAGTGTGAAGGACCTTAATTCAGCAGCCAAGTGCAGCGTGCTCACAGTGTCAGCGCCGGCAGTGTTGTTTAGAAGAGGTTGGTTTTTGCAGCTTTGTACCAAGATGTCTCTCTCCTGGGTCTCTTCAAAGTCTTTGTATATCAAAACCAGGAGTGCAGAGCAAAGCTTTTGCTCTGGAGTGGAAGGAGATAAATTTCATCTTTTGTGACATTTAAAGGGCACGCAAGCATTTTAGCGACGTTCAGAATTCATAAATGCTGGTTTACTGTTTCTGTGCCTTGTGACGTGCAGCAAGCAGTCCCGCTGCTCAAGTTTTATGGTTTTTTGGCTGCCTCTTTCTTTTTTTTTTCCCTCTGTCTTTCCCCTTTGACCCTCTCAGGTGTCTGTAGGTGCCCTCAATGGCTGTGTCCCACCAAGCGTGCTCCTGCCGGAGGGACCCCGGGAGCCCCGGAGCCCACCAGCCACTTCCTTTCTGTTTGCGTTTACTGAGCAAGTTCACGGTCAGCTTTGAGCTGTAGCTTTGTTCCTCGGTCTGCCGTTGTTCCAGAGAAGCTTGGTATGGTATTGCCTTTTTCAATACATAATCAGAATAAAAGTTTTTCTTCTGAACATTTCAGTGCTTTTCCTTTGGGCCAAGCTTCTCCAGGAAGAGACAGGACTCTGAGTCATTTCAGGTGGGTTTTTTTAGACGTACGTGGACTTAGCAGTTTTTCAGATCCATTGTAAAATTACTAGAACGCATACTAAATGAAAAAGCTGATGGGCTATGTTCATTTAAAATACTGTCTCTGAGTGTATCTGGCTCTGTTGTTCTGGAAGTAATGCTGCGCTTCAAAGTGCACAGTTCACTGTAATGTATTATTTTAAAAATTACTAAGACACTAAACCGTAAATTGGAGCTGCGGATCTTGAAAGAGGAAGCAGTGTAATATTCTTCACGTAGTAGGAGTTTCTCTGCTTGGCTTCACTGACGGCAGCGATGGCTCTGGCCTTGGAGCTGCTGGAGTTGGTTATTCCTCTTTCTGCATTGAGGCATATAACTCCCTTTATATTTGCAAAAAGTGGTTTCAAATTTGAGTCTGGACCCAGTCTTTGTTCCTGTCTGCTTATTCCTGCTCTCTGTGTCATCTTCTGGCCTGAGTGTTCGTGCAGCTCCGTAGTGAACTGGTCCAGCTGAGGCATAACCAGCGATAAAGTGTTGCCTCCTCTTCTCCCTGCCCTCTGAAGATGGATTATTTCCCCCCCCGGTTAACTGTGCATTTGCATGAATGCTTTGATGCTTGAGCAGTGGTGGTGGTGGGGAGCAGGTACAGGGCAGGGCGAGCGGCGCGGGAGCAGTCGGGGCCAGGAGCTTCCTAAGCAGATGCTGTGTGGGAGATGACCACAACCTTTTGGTCGTAAGTCCTTTGGGAGGCTTGTTCAGATTTCAGTTTTAGTATAATTCAGATTAACCCTGTCTCTCAGTTTTTGGAGAGTTTTTAGTAGTTTGGTTCTTTCTAGTTTTTTAAATCTATTTTTTTGCATACAGTCTAACTTGAACTAATTGGTTTGCCACTGTCCCATACTAGAAATTCTACGCTTATGCTGTTTTTTCCAGACCTTCCCCTAATAAAGGCTTCAAGGAAGCAGATATTGTGTTGATTAGAGACTTTCCTTGGAGCTTTTTTCCCTTTGAGAGGACCCCAGAGAGGCTGTTAGTATCTTACCACTGTGAACACCACCGCTGTGGTAGAGCGGGGTCTGTGCTGCCAAAAGAGTTGGTAACACTTCTTTCCTCTCATCCTGTGACAACTTTATTTCGAGTTATTCTTGGCCTTCAAGTAGAAACCTTGCAAGAAGTAGCCTGCGTTTCTGGCTTCAGGAATACCAGAAGGTAACCCTAATCACAGAGCTCCAACTGTCCTCAGAAAGCATTTGAACCCCATTGGCATTAATTTGTCTCTGGCAGGTATAAGTTGCATTGATACCACTTCTTTCCTCAGTAGAAAAAAAAGAGACGAATATGTAGGTACTGCTTCTCGTTATCTCCAGTTCAACGCTTGGATATTGAGTTGTTGGATATTGGGTGGGAGATGCCCCATCCTTGGAAACACTCAAGGCCAGGCTGGATGGGGCTGTGAGCAACCTGATCTGGTTGTAGATGTCCCTGCCCATGGCAGGGGGGATGGACTGGGTGGGCTTTGAGGGTCCCTTCCATCCCAGGCCGTTCTAGGATTCTGCGATGATTCTGTGATTGTTGAACTCATGGGTGGCACCACTGTGTGCAGTGGGCACCCTGCCAGTGAGCTCTCACTGGGATGTGACCCGACGTCTTCTGAAGGAGATCTTTGGCACATCGAGAGTGCAGGGTACTTGTAGGCTAGGGAGGAGATCACCCCGCTTCCATGCAATGTGGCTGGAAAAAAAAAAAAAAATTTTTAAAACTAAACCGCTCTTTAAAAGAAGAAAATGGTTAAATAGGGGTGGAGGGGTAACTGGCATTTTTGGTCTTCAAATGCCTTTCACCCAACTAACCCATGTTCAGTATGATAGACGTACGTGGAGTGGGCTTCTACCAGATGGGTACTGAGATTGAATATGCAAGTTGTGAGATGCAGAAAACCAGAGATGAGAGAAATTAAGGGAATAAAGAGGCCTTGTTATGATGCTAAATGAGAACGTGAAGAATTCTTCGTGCTTGTGGTCTGTGTAGTTCTACACATTGGCTTATTATACACGGTCCTAAAACATTGGCTTATTTTTGCTTTATGCATAAAAAATGAAAGAGCTTACCTAGCAGTGCTTTTTGTAGTAGTGCAAAAGGTTATGTTAGATTATTTTTTAAAAAACAAACAAACAAAAACCAAACCAAGAACAAGGAGTTGGAGTAGTTTGTGCCTGCTTGCCAGGTTGTAGTCTTTCATGAGAAACCAGGTGTTTTAAAAGAATCTCTCTTCTGTTTTGCCGTTAATGGAAAGTTTTCCAAGGTTTTGACCTTTATCTTTGCATGACTTAAGCTTTGTAATTCTTTGCTTTGCAGCTTGTCAGCAGTTAACTTCTGTTCTTGCTCCTTGCTCCTGTCTAATCCTGAAGTTAAGGGTTCAGAATGCTACCAAAGCCTTGTAATCAAAGCTGAATGTGCTGTTTGGGGGCGGGGGAAAGGAGTCCGAGGAGATGTTTGCGGTGCTGGTCAAACATAAGACTCCCAGGAGAAGAAATTGTGCTTGAAAATGGGTATTTATTATTTGAGACAACCAAGTGATAAGAACCTCTGTACTGATCTCTCCCATGTTGTGTGACTTATGCTATGTTCATTTATACCTGCTCTGAATCTTCCTCTTTACGTATAAAAACATTTTAACATGGTCTGCACTTAATTTGTCTCTTCTATAATAATCATGAGAAGGAGTTGATATGAAAGCAATAATATCCACTTAGAGTTTAACGTGAGCTTCATTCTTGGAAGTTTGGCGCACGTTGTTTTTCACGAAGGACATAAAAATTGCCTCTCCCGAGTTGCAGCAAGCGCCGGTATTGAAGTCCAGAGCGTTTCAATTTCCCTCCTTGTTTCTTTTCTGTGTTTTTTTCAGCCCAAGTGGTAAAAAGTTCCGAAGCAAGCCCCAGCTGGCACGCTACCTGGGCAGCTCGATGGACCTGAGCACCTTTGACTTCCGCACAGGAAAAATGTTGATGAATAAAATGAACAAGAACAGACAGAGGATGCGCTATGACTGTTCCAACCAAGCCAAAGTAAGACGAAGATGCAGTGGCAGCTTTCCCCCTTCCGTCTGCCAGGCTGCCTCTCGGAACAATATCTGTGATAGCGTGAAAATTAAGCGTTTTGTAATTAATGTGTGAAACCGGAGTTGTATGAGATAACAACATCTCTGTTATGGGGTGTTGGACAAATGCTGCAGTTCACTGGTTCTTCCAGGGTACTGGTACAGTGGAAGAATATTGCGGTACTGCGAAATCTTCGGTACGGAAGGGCTGGAGAGAGGGCTGGCATCTTTCTCTCTTCACTTCTCCGGAGCGTGAAATCTCCTCCGTGATCGCCTCCCCGGCGAGCGGCTCCCTGGAGCTACCCGTAGGCCATGCTGGTATCTCGGCTTTGGAATTGATCTAAGGAGGGGATGCGTTTTGGGCAAAAAGCTGAAGAGACAAGAGGCTGGCTAGGCCTATCTGTAGAACAAAATAAAAGAGTCTGTGTTTGGCACCCGGTAATTTTAATTGTTAAGGTTCAGTCAAGGTTACAGTGACACTGATACGCTGCCTGTCTGGATAGATTGGCTCAAGTCATTCTTAAGTATCTTAATCGGATGCTAAAAGCTTTTTCAGAACCTAAACGCTTATGTCTATGCACCTAAACATTAAATGCGAAAAACAGCGTAATGCTTATTTTCTAAGTATGTCAACCAGTCAAGAATTATCATCATCAGAGTGACTGGAACATTTACTCACAGCGCTGGGTGCTGTAGTGGTATTTTAAAAGAAACGTGCCTTGCTGCAAAGACGAGCAGCTGACACACATAGGCGAAAAATTCTGCCCAAACCTTTCAATAAACGTACAAACAGTTATCGTTGGCTTATAAATGGATTAGCACACAGATGATTCGCAATGATATTTGTCCTGAATACATCGTTTCTACATCTCATGAATAAATATGCTAAGCAGACGCGGTGTCTGCATCCTCAAGAACAAAGTGCGTCCTACAGCCATTTCAAGGCTTGCGTGTTGGATCTCGGGAACGAGGAACGCTCTGCCTGGGCTTCCACTGACATAAAATGCAGTCATGTAGTGAAAACTTGTTTGTTATGAGCTCCGTTTTAAAACTGAGTTTTGTTAAGAACTGAAGGTAAAAAAAAAAGTGATCGAGGTTCCAGCTGTATTGATTTGATTATTGGCATCCACAACTGGATGTAAACAGAATGGTTTAGAAGGGTTTCTGGATTCGCAAAATGGTCTCTATATCCCACTGTGTAATTTTCTATTATTACAAATACGGTGTCAAAATCTTCTGGTTTAGTGATCTACAGGTGGCTTGTCGAAGTGCAAACTCGGTGTTCTGACTCCTAAATTCTATCAAAATTGGGATAAAACCAATGTGTGTAAACTAGAACGAGGGGACGCTGGTATCTTAAGTAGAATGTGAAAAAGCAGAAAACTTCATTTAATTCTGATAGCTCTAAGGCAAGATTTGAGCGTAGTTATGCATTTTTAGCAGTCTAACTCATATAGCTTGAGATGAGACAAGTTTTCAAGTCCATGAACTCTTCTTTTCCCCATTGCACATCTTTACGGCTGTAGTAGCATTTTAGCAAATTGAAAATATTTTTCTGAGCTTTTCCCCTCCTTTTGTTTGAAATTTTTAGGGCAAGCCTGATTTGAACACGGCACTGCCTGTCAGACAGACAGCCTCCATATTCAAACAACCTGTCACAAAGATCACAAACCATCCCAGCAATAAGGTGAAGAGTGATCCTCAGAAAGCTGTGGACCAGCCCCGGCAGGTAAGGCTTGCAGCTTAGTACCTTCTTCTCCAGAACGAAGAAAGTCCTGGTTTTGCTGCTGGGAGGGTCCCAAAATAAACCACTTTAATTTTGTGATGCTGAACAAATAGTCCGTGGTAATTTGAAGTCTCTGATATCTCAGAAACAATAACTTACAGTGCTCCCAGCTTTTAAAATCGGATCAAAACCCGTTTCCAATATATAGTTAGGATTCTGTCTTTCAAGAAATCCCTGTTCCTGTACAGACCGCATACAACGTGGCGTCTGTGATGTAGTGCAAGGGGTTGTACCCCCTGCGCGGGCCTTTTCTTCAGATGCATGTATCATTAGTAGTTAACTCTACCTGTATGAATAAGGTCATAAATTCACTTGGAATGTCATCATTAATACAAAATCAAAGTGTTTGTCTTATCACACTGTGTATCTGCAAACAAGAGAATACACCAAAATTAAAGGAAATCGTTCAGCTTAACTTCATCTAGTGAAAGGATGCGAGAAGCCTGCTTACGACAAGTGCGGCTTTGAAGCTGGGCCCCGGTAAAATAAGATGTACCCGTTCAAAGCAGCCTTTGGAGGGCATTTTTCATTTCATTGATGTTACCTAGAGCTGACGGCCTGTTGCCTCCGCAGAGCTCGCACCAGGGATTCTGAGAGTCCTTTCCTGTAGTGAGTCCATCTTTATACCTTTTGGAAACCTGATGTTCAGCTTCACGAGTCTGTTCAGGTGCTGTCATCAGTATCAATTATCAGTACGTTTTAAACTGTTGCAGGTCTGGTGGAATCAAAATATATCCAAGAGGGAAAGTGATTTCAATAAAATTAAGAAATACCCACCTCTCACATTGGCAACCTTTTCTGCAAACTTAAAAACTACCTTTCTGAAGTGTGAGTTAGGTTCGGTTGGAAATGGAGTTGGGAGGTGTGTTTTGGTTTTGTGGGTTTTTGTTTGGTTTTGGATTTTTAAACAGGTTGGTGGGGTTTTAGCATGGTTTCCTAAGGAAGTAGAGCATGTGTGCTCATAGTGGTGTTCCTATTCCTGTAAACCCCTTGGCTAGTTAAGAAAATAAGAGAGGATGCTGAAGATATGACATTGATATGCAAAACACCGAGCTGGGTAGAGATTTGCGTCCCTGCTGTGGAGTAGATTGGCCTGTGAGTGCAGATGGGCGTGTGAGAGCCATCCCTTAGACAGCGGAGACCGGCCCCAGTACGCCAAGGTGGTGTAACCTGGCCTGTGTAGTTCTGCTGCTCCGTTACCGCTCGTTGTAAAGCAGCTTCCTGGACTCTGCTTCTGCTTTCCTTACGTTATCCTTTTTATGACAACATTGGAGCCTGGTTTCGGAGAAGGTCCTTTAGAAGTTCTTAGGTATATATGTATATATATAAAAATATGTATATACTGTATGTATAATGTATATGCATATTGGTTTGTATATTTTATTTTCTATTCTATAGCATAGAATAGGGCAAACTTGCTCTTTCTTGTGTCTTTCTCCGCATCATACATCTAAGAGTCTGTTAAATTACAACTTTAAAATATTTTACCGGACTGTAGTATATTTTAACCTCTGCTCAGCAGATGTTTCTTCAAAATTGGAAAGCGGTGCTAAGTCCCAGCATGCGCTGGCTTAAAATTTGCCTATTTGAAAGTCACGGGCTAGAGCAGATCCAGCCGATGGGCTTTGGCCGCGAGCGTCCTCGTTCCCCTTGTTGGGAGCTGGCCGTTGGAAAAGTAACGGGAGTTCAGTCGCGCTCAGATTTTGACAGGCACGAAAAGGGGGCACGCGTGGACTGTGTGGGCTAAATTCTTAGTTTCTCAAAATCTAGATAAAATTGCTTTCTTGCAAGACTCCAGCTATTCGCTGATCATCCTTACACACGTAGATTGAGTCGAAGGTGTAGCCAGGTATAGTATCTGACTTTCCACCGACCCATGCGTTCACGTGTTCTTAAGCTTGAGGAGAACCCGTGATTCAAAATACAGTGAAGGACTAGACATGGTTGTTCTCATCAGAAACTGCGAGAGAGGAATAAAATAATGCTTTACCTTGGGAAGAGCTTGGATACAATTCTTGCATTCCTAAACTTCTGTGGTATGTGTGAGACGGCAGGAGAGGACTAGCAGTGTAAAAGAGGCTGTCCCACGCGATGTGCCCTTCGATGAAAGCCAGCAAGCCTCGCCTTGCTGTTGCGGTGCAGAAGCTTTCACTAGGCAACCAGTCCCTGGAAGATAGTGGTTTTGTTTTTTGTTTTTTTTCAAGGCAGCAGATCAGGACAGAGTTGTGGGACTGATAGGCAACGCGGATTGTTCCCTGCCGTCGGACCCGGCAGACCCCTTCCGTAGTAAATCCAATATAAAATTGTCTGCAGCGGTGCTCTCCCCTCCTTTGGTAGCAAGCAGGTGCTTTGTGTAGTTGTCAACTCCATTTCTGCTTTGTGCCAATAAACGCTTTCTTTGATGTCAGCTCTTCTGGGAGAAGAAATTAAGTGGACTGAATGCTTTTGACATTGCAGAGGAGCTGGTGAAAACAATGGACCTTCCAAAAGGTTTACAAGGTAATCAGAGTCTGCCCTTCACTCCAGGGGTGGCGTTTTGATGGCAATCAGCGGCGGTCGGGTGGTGGTGTGTTTGCCCTCCTTGTTCTCCAGCGCTGTGGAGCGTTCCCGCTTCAGCGAGAGCTGTTAGTGCTCTGGCCGGGCGCCTCGGTGCCCTCCGTCCTCAGGATACTGAAGCAAAGCTGCTTGACTTTTTTTTTTATTGGTTCATTTTCCAGAAGCAGAACGGAAACGGCTTCCATTCCCCATTTTTTTTTTTTTGTTGTGTAACGGAATGAGGTTGAAATAACCTCGGAGAGAGTTGTAGAGATGCTGTTAAAGTGTTTAGGACTGAGATTTACGTTGTATTAGCTTTTTAAATGACAGCACAGGCTTTGCCATTAAAATCGAAATCATGCCTGCTGTCCTGATTTGCTGTTCTTTGCCTGGTGCAACGTTGATTATCGCTTTTCCTCCCACCTGCAGGGGTTGGACCTGGCTGCACTGATGAAACCCTTCTCTCCGCTATAGCTAGCGCTCTGCACACGAGCACTATGCCTATCACCGGGCAGCTCTCCGCGGCCGTAGAGAAGAATCCCGGAGTTTGGCTGAACACCTCACAGCCACTTTGCAAAGCATTTATGGTGACAGATGAAGATATTAGGTATTAACCAGAAATATCACTTACTGTCTTGGAACAAGGTTTCTTGTGGTAAAACAATACCCCCCCCTTTTTTTTTTTTTAATGGCAAGTTTACACGTCTGATGGAGCACTATGACTTGCTGAATTAATTCGAATGCCTCTTTATCAGTAGAGTAGAAAAAAATTGCTACACGAAGCTGCTCTCATGCAGGCGTGTACTTAAACCCCATTACTTTTATTTTGACCATGCTCAGTTACTCTGAGGTTTCAGGTTCGTATTTGTTTTTATGTCAGAGTATGTCTCCTTTTATTGAAAGAGGTGTCTGAATTTGAGTAACCTCGGTTAAGGCACCTCTAAGCAAAGAAGGGATTGGAGAAATCCTGAACAGTGCGATTCGATGCTCTTCGCCTTGCTCTGTGTCAGCACAGGAGCAAATAAAAGCACTGACTGCTGCGGTGGGAGCGAACACGATGCAATTTATTTAGGTATAGCTTGCTTTCAGTAATGAATTATATTGCTAAATCAAGACTGGTCAAAATCAGCTTTAAGCACTTGATAGAGAACTGAATACACCAAAGACACTAAGCTGAAAGCATGCTCCTTTGCATTCATTAACAGCATTTAAAGGTAGTAATTGTTTTGACTGTTTGATAAATCTTTTTGAAATACAGGATGACTTTTTTTTGTGCTTGATTTATACATGAACGACCAGGAAAAATGGTCTGTTTATAACTTTATGATTCCCTGGGGCTGAGATGAAATAGGAGTCCCATCAGCCACAGATCGTTGATCACTTCTTCACTTTAGTGTGACAGAAAAGGAGCTGTAAAATTTTAGGTTGTGGCTCAAAAGGGGAATGAGCAAAAAGACTGAAATGGTCAGAAGCTTAATTTTCTCCAGTCTCATTTTTGGAAATCTGTGCAGGGTAGGCTGATTTTTGTTCTTGTTTAAATGAATGTTAGTACTAGGAATTAAAAAAAAAAAAAAAAAGTCCTGAGTCAGCTGCTAGATTAGGAAAACTTCAGCCAGAATTAAAAGCGGTACAATCAATGCGAAGGACTTGTAATAGAAATTATTGGACAGCTTCTTAAAGCATAAGCTTCGCTTATAGCATAATGCCAGGCACTTTTTTTACAGTGCCGTTCTTACAGAGGGCTCTTTCGCAGCCATGCTGGTCTGCCCAGCCGGGGGTATGAGGGATTTAAGATTCCTTTCCCTTGCAAGAGGCAGCTCGGAGGGCTGATGTCGGTGTTGGTTGGTTTGGGACAGGAAGCAAGAGGAACTGGTGCAGCAAGTGCGGAAGAGGCTGGAAGAAGCCCTGATGGCCGACATGCTTGCCCACGTGGAGGAGATAGCAAGGGATGGGGAAGCTCCTTCAGAGAAAGAAGGAGGCGAGGAAGAAGGAGAAGAGGAAGAGGAGGAGGAGGAGCAGGACCATGACCAGGAGATGGAGAATGTATAGTGCAGGTAATGTGACACATCCTTTCTCACCTTAAACTGTACTTCACTGAAGGCAGAAATGTTTTCAGAAGGAATCGTAGTATATATTGACCAACCTTTGCTTTTTAGGATGCACTTTTAAAGGTGTAGGAGCCATGCTTTCAGGAAAAAATCAAATATTTTGATGTGTGTGATGACTGGTGAGAGCTTGCGTTGTGACGGAGCGTTCTGGGCCTTCTGTCTGTGTCAGATGGGCTGAATGTGTAACGAGAACGCGTACGTAAGTGCTCGAAGGATTCTGTCTTCAAAGTGGATCAGTTCTTAAAAAACTTATTTGTCTTGTGATGTCAATTTTTCACCCCTATTTATTTATTTGTTACTTCCTATGATAGGCGAGAGGACGCTGTGGACGGAAGGGACAGATGCTGTCTTATGGACTCAGTTTCTCCCCCTGCCTGCCTTCTTTTTCTCTCACTTTTGCGTTTTTAGCACACATTTTCTTGCAGGGTCTATTAGAGGGCACATTTGTGGAATTTTTAAAATAATATTTGTAGAAAGCTAGGAAAAGGCAACCTGACCATCCAAAGAAGGACGTTGCTAAAAGACTTTATACGTGGTGGGAATTTATAAACTCAAAGTAACGGAAGAACGGATATATTCAAAATCTGGAAACATCTGAAAAGTTTAAGGTAGCGTAACGGTAATAACTACGGGATTCACAGAAATGTGCCTTTACGTTGTGCGTCCCTTAAAAGTATCACAAAGGGCTTGCTGCTTGTTCCCAAGTAGATGCCTGACTTCCACTTGCAGTGGAGCTTTTTAAAGGTGCAACTAGAATTTTTTTAATTGTCTTGTAAAGCAAAATAGCTCTGAATAATGAGTCGTTACTGTGTAGCAATGCAGAAAAAAGCAGATATATAAGGCCGAGAGGACTTCCCTTAAATGTTTTATGTTGCACTAGAGAGGGCCAGCGCGCCATGCTACGAAGCAGGGTTTTTCCTTGCTGTGTTCCTTTGATGTAAGCCTAGCCAGGAGCGCTGTGTGTCGCGTCGGTGGAGCTCATGCAGCGAGATGAAAACAGAACTCGCTGATTTTCATTTTTGATGGTTTTTAAGTTTTAGCCTAAGAAAAGCAATTAGTGTTCTGTCATTGAAATAGGATAGCCGATAACCCCGGGTGCTTCGCTATGTAGGCTCCAGAGCCTGTGAGGCAAGAATCGAGAATGTGGAAGGGGAAAAAAAAAAAAAAGAATTTTTAGGATGAATAGCAGAAGAAAAGCCCCTTTGGAGGGCGTGGCAGCTGTATTTCAGGTAGAAGGAAGAGTGATTTATGTTAAGCAAACCTTCAAGCCGAAAGGTTGATTATAACATGAAATCTGTTTGGCCTTTGGGAGATACCATCTTATATCTGGGCTCTCTGTATTTCCCTGTTCTACCACATCGCTAACAGTAGCTTTATTTGGACAGCGAATATCTTGCATTCCTTTCTACTACAAAGGTCTGGCAACAGCAAAGAACCAGAACAAACTGTCTGCTGAAGGTGAAAAACAGGACATAAAGAAATAGATAAGTTAAAAAAAAAAATAAAAAATAGATAGATAAAGCAATGGTGCTTCAATGGTGCTTTATTCTTTTAAGGGCTCACTTGCTATAGAGATATTAAAAGTTCTTACTGACTTACCAGGTCTCTTTTACTCTTTCTTCTAGGGAGTTCCATCTAAGAATTCCCAGTATCAACCCTATCAGCAGGGTCAGCACAACAAAGCCAAGAGTGTCTGCCAAGCAAATTGCACCACCAATCCAACTGTACCTACGAGCATTTTGATGTACGCTTCAGGAAACGTTGGGAAGCTGATGGTTCAGTAATTGCTGGGTAGTTTTGAAGATGGAACTTGACCAAACTCTACTCCCCCTCCTTTTTCTAAAGGGGTAGGGTAATCGGGAATGCAAAAGTGGGAGGGAATAAAGGAATATAAAATGGTGGGAGGGAAAATACTAGGAACCAAATTTCCTGTCCTTTTTTTTTTGTTGTTGTTGTGGGTCAGTGATAGGTAATACATTTTTAAGCTTTTCTATCAAAGTACCTTTAACGATGACCCATAGAAACAAATTTCTCTTGAACCCGGGTGAGAGAGATGCTGTTTCACTCCTTGGCTACTCTGCTGTAGGCTACCTGTTTGTACCAGACTGTAGGGAGGTCATTTTATGTTGTGGATTGTCATTCCATGTGTCAATTCGGGTCACTGAATTTCCTTTTCCTCGCAAGATCACATTGGTCTTGGAAGTGTAGTCTCAGAGATGAACTGCCAGTGCCTCTTCCACCTGATGTTTCGATTAGTAGGGGGAAGTTACACTCGAGGAATTGGTCTTACGTCAATGGCAATCGGTTTTTTAGCTAGTTCCAGCACCACGCTGAATGCACTACCGTGCGCGTTTTTGATACGGAGTTGTGTGTACGTCCAAGCATAGCCGAACAGAGTTTCGAAGATAAATATACCCACTCTATGGTATATTTTGCTTTGGTTTAAGTCCGGTCAGAAGGACCTTCTCAACTCGGAATGGAAGGATGACTCATTTGTGACTGACAATGAGGAAAACTTCCTCCGTTCTCTTCTGGTGCCAAGAACCCTGACCTCTGTGTGTGTGGAGGGAAGGGGATCCATTCCAATAGGTGTGTCTACACATCTGCTTTCGTGTGCAGTAATGTTCTGACCTCTTTTAAAACAAGAAAGGAAAAAGGTTGATTTTTCTATAATTGATATCTAAAAAGGAATTTAAAGCTTTTTATTAAGTATTAAATCTTTCTTATTTGCATGTGCAGTGAAGTGACCAGCATTTTGTGTCCAAAAATGAAATGATGTGAAACCTGCCTTAATGTGTTTATAAGTATTTGGCTTCACCATGGGTACCTTGATTGATTCCTCAGTCTCTTCTAGTACATCTGTGAGCATATTGGGGTAACTTGTGGCTAAAAATGGATTTAACTGGGGAGGGGGGATAGGGAGAGAGGAGGAAGATGAGAGTTTATAGCTTGGAGATTCTGTGGGTTAGGTTGTAAAAGTTATTTTAGTCTTAGGGTATCCATTGCGTGGACATCTCAGCTGAGAGTACAGTATAAAGTGGTGGATTAAATATTGTGCCACTAACCAATTGTACAAGTTGTCGGTATCCCAAAACTTGGGGAAGAAAGTAGCTCCCAGAGCCTTTATCACGTAAGAATGATTAGCAGTGACAGCAAGGGACAGGGGAATTGCCTGGAAAGTAATAGCCTTTGGGAGTAGTTCAGCTTAGAGATCTGAGTAGGTTTAAACTCCTTGAAAAATATCCCATGCCAAAGTGATTGATACTATATTCACTCTTTTCGTAAAGATTTGAAAATACAAAAATCTTTGATATTGCTCATTTGGAGTACTGCAAGAAGACTGAATTGTACTTTGCTGCTGCTCTACCAGGTATTGCTTTGGGGAACCTTACCTGGTACTGCAGCCAGTGAAAATTATTTTCCTTTTTGAACAGTCTGTTACGGTTATTATTCTGTAAATCTGTCCTCTTGTAATTCATTGTGTTGAATTAAATGTTTCTCACAAAGCAGAGATTCTTCTAGTCTGCATCAAGCCCCTGCCTGGAGTGTTTGCGCTACGCCCCTTCCAGTCATTTCAGCGGAGACGCACTTGCGTTTTTGTTGTGGGCTCCATGCTGAGAGTTGGATCTTGATAGGAACTGGATCTTGAGGGGAATACAGAATGAAACTTGTGGAAAGCCAGTTCGTTCTTGCTGCAGAGTCGTCTTGTGTCCTCACCCAGTGAGAGGCTGCCAGGGCGTCCCGTCTAACGGGCAAGGTGCTGACACGGGCCTTTGAATCTCGACTCTAGCGGTCTATAACCCGTACTAGGGGGGTTCTTTTGACCATCGCAATCTTGTCCTGACACTACTTCTTTTTTAAAACTTGTTTAATATCTAGTGATGTCTTTACTTTTATTTGAATCTAAATATATTGTAAGCATATGTAGCACCGGAACTTAAATGATTGAGATGTTGATACGAATATTTTGATGCATTGAATATCAAGTTTAAATTGCTGACAACTTGTGTGCCAACTCTTTTGTTTTCACCACTCTACTCTCCCTGTCCAGCTCACTCTCTTTCCTTCAGTCCTTTAAAAAGTTTATTCATGTTTTTCATTCATATGGAGGAGTTGATTGTTCAAAGTACCAAAAAGGGGCCCAGGACTCCTATCACATCCAAAGAAACTTAAATAACTTTACCTGCTTACAGAGACAGGTAAGTAAATAAAATATTCCTTTTAACTGACCCTGATGTCTCCCTCATGTTGCTGCAATAATAACTGGATGATGAGTTTGTCTTATCGCAGCCTACTGCCATGGACGTGACGGATGGGCATATAGCGGTCTGCCAGCATTGAATGTATCCCCAAGACGGAGAAAGCAGTTGTTACTTGAGGTATATCTTGTTAAGCAGGTGATTAGTAAAGAACGTAATTAAGAAAAATAATTGAGTGGAATTGGGGCAAAACTTACCTTTTATTAATATACAGCAGCTGTTACATGAGAACATATTAACAGTGGCGTTGTCCGTTGTTCCGTCTGAGATCAAGTTCATCTGCTTGGAGAAGTACCAGTGAGGGGATGCTTTTGAAACCAGTAATTCTTTCCGTCGCTGGTAATGACACCGTCCTGTTGCCCTCAAATATTACAAACGTTGGTAATACGGAGCTGCATGTGAAATAGCCGTAGGTTTGTCCTGCACGCTGTTTGCACTGGTAAACTGTTTTGATTATTTTCTACTAAAACAATAGTCCCAAGCTCTGTGGATGGATGGTTACTTTGATACAGTTTAATCCTCTTTGGAGGTAATATATAAGCATATTTTAATGGCCCTTACGCAGCTTCACTACGGGGTAGGATCCGGTCCGGTACAGCTAAGGTTTTGCATCTTTTTCTGTAGACAGCGTGATTTTTGGATACGTACCACCTGAGTGCACAAAAGCTACATTTCTTATGCT